CGGCTCCGCTCTCGGCGGCAGGCGCTGAACCGCGGCACCCCGCGCTGCTGCCGCTGCTGCTGCCGCTGCTGCCGCTGCTATTGCCCGGCCGAGCCGCCGGCCTGGAGGTGCAGCGCAAGTTCCTCTCGCCCACCCTCACCAACAACTTCGCGCTGGACGGCCCCGGCTCCCGCGTCTACCTGGCGGCCGTGAACCGGCTGTTCCAGCTGTCGGGGGGTGAGCTGTCGCTGGAGGCGGAGGCGGCGGTGGGGCCGGTGCTGGACAGCCCGCTGTGCCATGCGCCGCAGCTGCCGCAGGCCTCCTGCGAGCACCCCAGGGTGCTCACCAACAACTACAACAAGATCCTGCAGCCCGACCCGGAGCAGGGCGTCCTTGTCGTCTGCGGCTCCATCTACCAAGGCCTCTGCCAGCTGCGCAGCATGGCCAACATCTCGGCAGTGGCCGTGCGCTTCCCGCCGGGTGGCAGCGACTCTGTCACGGTCTTCCCTAGCATGCTGAACGTGGCGGCCAACCACCCCAACGCCTCCACCGTGGGGCTGGTGCTGCGCCGTGGCGGCGGCGGCGGGGCGCGSCTGCTGGTGGCCGCCACCTACACCGGCTTCGGCAGCCCCTTCTTCCCCCGCAACCGCAGCCTGGAAGACCACCGGTTCGAGAACACGCCCGAGATCGCCATCCGCGCCCTCAACGCCCGCGGCGACCTGGCCAAGCTTTTCACCTTCGACATCAACCCCTCCGACGACAACATCCTCAAGATCAAGCAGGGCGCCAAGGCGCGGCACAAGCTCAGCTTCGTCCGCGCCTTCTTGCAGCGCGGAGCCGCGCCGCCCGCCCGCCGCCCCTACGCCTACCTGGCGCTCAACAGCGAGGCCAACGCGGGCGACAAGGAGAGCCCGGCGCACAGCCTGCTGGCCCGCATCTGCCTGGGGGAGCCGGCCGAGGCCACCCTTAACGGCAGCGGCGAGACCAAGAAGCTGACCGAGTCCTACATCCAGCTGGGGCTGCGCTGCGGCGGCGCCGCCGACGCCTTCACCCGCCTGGTGTCGGTGTTCCCGGCGCGGGCAGCTTGGCGCAGCCCCGCTGCTGCTGACAGCCCGGCCCCGGCCCCGGCCCCGGCCCCGGCCCCGCCGCCCCCCGAGGAGCTGCTCTTCGGCGTCTTCGAGCGGGCCGGAGCCGGCGGCGCTCGGGGGCGGCCGCAGTCCGCGCTCTGCGTCTTCCGCTTCGCCGAGATCGAGGAGACGATCCGGGCCGCCCGCAACTCGTGCTTCGTCAGCCCGGCCGCGGGCATGGTCACRGTCCTGGACAGCGTGGTGCAGGGCACCGGCCCGGCCTGCGAGAAGAGGAACATACAGGTAAGGACGGCGGGCACCTGCCGGGGCCAGGGGTGCGGGAGCCGGGGGGAGCAGCGGCCCCGTCCCGTCCTGCGGCCACTGCTGTCGCCTCCTGTCCTCTGAGCAGTGCATCCCCCGCTTCCCCCGGCCGGGCGGCTGAGCCCTACACCCCGCTCCCCTCTCTCCCCGCCCTGCTCTCCCCGGAGACCCTTCCGCCTTCCCGGGACAGCATCGTTCCACTGCCCTGGTCGCCGGTGCCCCTTCCCGCGGTGTCCTGCGGGGCCGGGTGTCTGTGAGCATCGCCAGCCCCACGTCCCGTCCGGCGGCGCGCAGCCCTGCCAGGGACCGCACAAGGCTGCCTGGGCTCCCCGCATTGGTGGCAGAAGTTTGCCATTGTCACAATTTGTTAGTGAGTGGCTCTAAATGTTAGCGCGAGACAAAGTTGCCTCTTCCTCATTTCACTAAAAATATGCCATGCTTGGRAATAAAAAGAGAGGAAAGGGGGCCGCTTTAGCGCTGCATTTTTCTCTTCCTCTGGGACGGGTGCACAGCTCGGCGCCATCAAAGACTGTGAAAACATCTGCTGGATTTCAGAGGCAAGATAGAGCATTTGTGCTTGGGCTTCCCTATGCAATGCCAGTGGCAAAGAGAGAAAGGTTTCCCTTGGTAACCGATGTGTTTAGTGTGGCATCTCGACTCTATGGTAAAATATGTAGTCTTAATGCACTGGCTCATAGACCCACTCTAGAAAAGTTGAACAGTTTTTTCCCTGGTGGCAAAGTACAAGCTGCGTGACAGCCAGGAAATCTAGTAGTCTGAGCTAATTCCACAAAGACTGGGTGCATTAAACACTGGGAGCGCAGTCCTGACACCTTGGCATGGTCACAGCTCTCAGAGGAGTCAGGAATCCTATTTACAAGATGTGAAGACACCTGCAGTACTTGGTGGCTGTGGCTGTGGCTCAGCATTCGTGCAGAGCAGCCCCTCAGCCCCTGGTGGGATTGAGCTGTCTCTACCAAGGCAGGTCCGGCAGCAGCATCAGGGCTGAGGCTGCTGGAGGTGCTTGGGAGTGAACAGCCTGCTCAGTGGCAGAAGCACCCACCACCCTTGAGCTTCCCCAGGGCTCCCGGACTGCTCTGGAGATACTGTCTTTTCTAACTTGGTTTCAGTAAAGAAAATAATCATGACTTACACCAGTCWGTTGATGTTGAAAGTATCAAGTGCTGTACCCAGTAAGGTGCTGCGAATACCTATCCATTTCCACCTTCAAGACAGTGAAATACTCTAATCCATTTTGTGTCCCAGTCCTGGAAATGCAGCAGGAAAATGTATTAAAGCAGCAGCTGGTCTGGCAGTGCAGATCAGTATCTATCAGCCATCCCGCTGTCAGCTCCACCTCTCCTGTTAGTGGGTCTCCTGTTTTCCCGTTCCTGTGCCCACTGATAGGTGCTCTGGTGTCAGCAAGCGTGGCTCATCAGTTCTTCCTGAGGACCAGGTAGATGGGTTTTCATCTACTCTTGGAAGGAAAAAAAACCCTAATATTGGCCTTTCCAAGCATGTGTTCAGCTGAAGTAGTCAGTTGTTACAAGTCTGGACCAGGGCCTTTTCGGTGTAATGCAGTGTGAAAGGAAAATCAGTGACCCCTTGCATGCTCTCCTGTCTAATTGAATGCTCCTCTCCTGCACCACTTGCTGTGACTCAGCCACGGAGCTCCAGCACTTACCTGCCAGTGAAGGGTTTTGGGAATGGGCATCCAAAGCAGCCATCCCTGTGAGTCTGCACAGCATTGGTGCTCATTCTGGCTGATGGGGGACGAGGCTCCTCACCACCACTCGGGCTGAGCCTGGCACGGAACGAGAGCCTTTGTCCCTGTGCAGGGCCATGTGGTGGCAGCCCATGTTTGGCTCCCGTTGTGACCGTGTGGGGCTGCCCACGCCGGGAGCTGGGGAGGATGGATGGGCAGTGAATCTGCCTGTTGGTCTGCAGGAATGGGGCAAGGGGAGCCAGCAGCCTGGCCTGGAAACCGCCCCTGCCAGGAAAATGCTCACTCGCAATTAAGCACATGTGTAACGGCTTTGTGTGAGAAAAGGAGAAAATGTGCAGAGGAGGMTGGTCTAGGTCAGGAGTGGGGGCTGTTGGTTCTTCTCAATGAGTGTTGCTGAAAAGTCACGGATTGAGAAGATGAATTCATAGCGGCAGCTCAGGGGAAGGAGGATGTGTGAGGGAAGGATTTAGGTTGGATGGGTTCTTGCACTGACAGTGAGTGGGTGAGCTCTAGGATTGCTTCCCCTCAATAGAAATAGTTTTTTATAATGAAAGTTGTGTCAAATGCAGCTAAATTGGAATACTTGCATGGAATCACRGCAGTGTTTTGCCCACTCAAAGCTCGTGTGGAATTTGGACTTGAGCCACCAGAAGGGGAGTAGGAGCTCTCTGGAGCAAACTGCCTGTAACAATATTTGCAGCAGTGTGCTGACAGARCTTATCAAATTCCAGGGACACTGTGTGGGTTTATAGCTCACATTTGAGCTATTCTGCCCCAGGAGGATCAAAACCCTGTGGGTTGGAAGGTTATGCTGGCTGGAGTGTGGCACAGCTCTGGGATGCTGGAGCCTTTATGGAAGCAAAGCAGGGAGAGCCCATCCCATSCTCAGCTTCTGGCTGGCTCGAGGGCAGTGGCCATGTGGGGCATCCCAGCACTGTCCCCTTGGTGCCACTGAAAACAAAATGTGCCTGGCTGTTCCTTTGGTCACACTGCAGCACAGCCATGTCCCAACACAGCAAAGCCCCCACAGCATCCTTTTGCCACTGCCCCATCTCCCAATGGGCTTTGGCAGGGAACAGAGCCAGCACCTTTGTGTGCACCCTTTGCTGTGATGAGCAAGCTCACTTGAGGAAAAGCTGAGCTGGAAACCCTGTCCCTGCTCACAGCTGCACCAAACTCAGTGTCTTGTGTGGTTCCTGCACTAGAGCCCGTGGATTCCCACAAAGCCCCTTGGAGGTACTGAAAGCAACCTTGGATTCATTAGGCATGGATTTGCTGGCCAGGGAACAGCATCTCTCTTGGGAAATGTTTTGGGGTCTGCAACTCAAAAAAAGGCTGAAAATCCAGTTTATTTCCTCTGCTGAAAACCATAGGCTTAGTGGCATGGGATAATGATGCATTTCAGCATTAATTCTTGAGTTTCTGGCTCTTGTGGCTTTGTGTCAGATCCTGCATGGTCATTGAATACAGTGTGTGGAGGTGTAATGATGAGATATCCACCAGTGAGCTGTACTGTAATGGRTTGTTAAATAAAATTAACTCCTTGGGTAGACTGTATAAACAGTCTCTCTATATATGTGTGCCTGGGCATGGAAATGTGGTTTAAAACCAGTCAGAAAATGTTCCCAAAGAAAAAATCCCATGTACACGTGGGAATATGACAAAGCATCTACTTACTGTCCAAATATACTGTGGCATCTCCGTGGGATTGGGGTTTATGGGGGCTGGGTTACTTTGAAGTGCTGGTTTATACTAATTTAGAAATTCCAAACATGAAACTAAATGTCTTGTAACCCTRCATCAACTCAAATAAATCCGGAGGATTAGCCACAGAAAGGAAACTGGGAATTTACACTTAATTTCTTCATTAAAAATGAGGTAGAAGTTCTTGTAGCAAGCCTAATTTCTGTGTTTGGCAGTGCAGGCTGTTTAGAGTCGCTGTCAGCACCCCAAGGTGCCCCWGCCCAGGTTCTGCAGAGCCGCAGCACAGCCGCTGTCACCATCSTGTGTTTGTTTTGCTGTGGGATGTTGTGTTACAGATGGGGGSAGGTCGCTGTCCTTCCAGCTTCCCCTCCAGGTCTGGCTGGGGTAGGGGCCAGACTGCCCATGGAGGGGCTGCTGGGACCCACAATGCACCCACCAGGAGATTTAAGCCACAGTGTGAGCTTTGCTTAGCTTTGGAGCCAGCCCAGAGCACTGCCTTGCTGCTCCCTCACCCGGTACCAGTGAGCTGTGCTCARTTGTTGGTTAGGTTTCCTTGGGAATTCACGTGAAAATACGAGCTGCTGTTGCAGTGGAGTTACACACAAGCAGCAGTGTGCTGCTGTTGGGAGCTGTGTGAACACCATCCTTCCTGGGAAGGCAGGCTGAGCTCTGAGAGCTGCCAGTGCCCGGGGCTCTCCCAGTGCCGGGGCTGGCACAGCCCCTGTGCTCTGTGCCAAGCAGGACAATCTCCCGAGGAGAGCATCCCCTGTGCTCTGTGCCCAGCAGGGCAATCTCCTGAGGAGAGCAT